GTACACTTTATTCCTGTACCACAAAAAAACAACAACATTGACAGTTACGTTTTGTAACACTTATATTGTCATCAGTTTTAAAGACAAGATTGAAGTCGGTTACATAAAGGTCCTTTAGGGCGCAGTCACCTCTGTTGATATCCTGCTAGACTGCCGTGCGAGTGGCCACATTGGAATTCTTATAACGGGCCTATTTTTAACAGGGGTAGTTTGGGGAATTTTTACTGTGGTCCTATCGGACATGGACGTTCAAACGAAGGTCCTGCCACAATGTATATGACACCATGCAGTGTTGATTGAGTCGTTAAACCCATGGCATACTACCTTCCTTCGCTCCTTATTTAATACATGTAATACGATCGTGTGAATTTTTGTTTATACGAAACTGTCAGCCATGTCAGGTAGCCATATGAGAACGACCAGCAGTGTTGAAAAAAATGCAGATAGACAGGCAGAAGCAAGATGAAAGACGGTAAAGAAGCAGGACCTACCAATGACACTCTCTAATTCCAGCCACTCATGCCGACACGTTAAAAGGAAGAACATGTAACAACAGCCCCCTCCCCTAACATAACTTAACAAAGCAAAACAAAACAAAAATTAACAATCGCCCCCCTCCCCCAAAAAAGAAAGAAAATACAACAACAAAAACAACAACAACAACAGACAAACAACAAAACAACCAAACAATACATGCCCTCCAAAATACAAAGAACCAACAAACAGCCCCACCCACCCCCCAACCATATGTAGCATGAACTCATGAGCCTTGTGCGATGATCACTCACCAGTAGGTGTCGCAGCACACGTAGTAACGGCGTGGTCGAGGGATGCCGTTGAAGTCACAGGACAGACTCACGGTGTACGCGCCCTGGTTCCGGAAGTATAGCCATTGACCTATGCCCAGTTCTGGCATCCGACAGTCTCGGATGACGAAGTCGAGTCCATCACAGGTGGGGCCCCACACTACTGACCGCCTCAAACGGGGGGACATGGGCGCCTTGTGTGGGAAGGGGTTGGAGAAAAAAAATGGTTAGGCTTTAGATAAAAGATACGGTAAAACAAAAACCTGTTTCCTGTGCAACGCATTGTGATCGACCATTGCTTTTGCAGCTTGCCAACTACCTAAAATTTGGAAGAACCAAAATTAAATGTTATGTAAGACTTGATGCTCAGACAACTGCCACATTACCGAGGTTTTAGCTAGCAGTACCCCTTCTCATGATGGTATTAGGCCAACCTCATTTAGTCTATTTTCAATTTTATCCCTCCACCACCACCACTCTCCTTTCATACCCCTGTAATCACCAAAGCAACCGGTCTTCAGTTTCGTTCTAAATTTAGCGGTTGCGAATTTTGGCGGTTAAGCGCTCTCGTCCGTACAAAACCTGGTAGACCAAATATGTGAATGAACGTGTTCACCTGCGGAATTTAGTAAGCTTACACGCCACAGACAGAGGCCTGAGATAAGAGATTCATGAAAACGACGTTGGCTTTAGAAATATCTCGCCTGTTTTAATAAGCTTCTCTTTTTTCAATGTTAAATCAATTTCCTGAAATAGCTCGGTGTTTGAATTGAATACCGGGTTGGTTTTCCCTATGTTTGGGTTGTGCAATCGCAAGACGAAAGAAGCGCCGAGTAAACCGGGGACCAAGGCCTGGTAAGACAGCAGGAGGAAGGGAGTAGGGAAGGGAGAGAAAAATCTACGTAATCGGGGCCAGGGAAGCAAAGGTCACTTAAGGTCTGGCCTTGTACAGTTCACGTGACTGGAACTCTGGGCTCAACTGGGCTGGGGTCTAGACATCACGTGTGTATCTATTACTATAAAGAGATATCTAGCACAGGGGCAGCATAATGAACAGGAGTAGAAATGTCAATATTTAACAACTAGGTGAACGAGGAATGGACGCAACATTACCCCTTCCAAACTCTGGACGAGATCCCTTCACTCGAAAACACTGGGACAGTTAACCGATGGTCCAGTATTGACTGATAAACAAGATACACGCGTAGATAAAGTAACAGATAGGTATGACATGAAACAAACAAACGCGCTCGGGCACAAACACACAAACATACACATAGATAGATAGATTGATAGATAGATAGCGAGAGAGAGAGAGAGAGAGAGAGAGAGAGAGAGAGAGAGAGAGAGAGAGAGAGAGAGAGAGAGAGGGCGGAGCCGGGGGTGGATCACGCGCATGTCCTATAAACAAGTCAAAGTCACCTCGACCCGTCAAACCTGCGCACAGACCACAGACTTGGTCTTGGTAGATCACACACGCGAAAAAGCCTCTACCTATTTATACATTTGCTGTACCACATAGATGGCCCCTTTTGGCTCCTGCCCCGTGAAATGCGTCAGCAACATTCAACGGGCTAGAATTTCCCTACAGCTCAGAGAGCGTTTTGAGTAGGTTGCGTGGGAGAGGTGGGAGGAATATAGGTGTGTAGGCCTAGGTGCCTAAGTGTTTTTGCTAAGAAAACGGATGATGCGATGTCATTGTCATGGTATTTCCTCGTCTCTCGTACTTGGTGTCTGCTTACACTACACCCTCTCCCCCTGTCTCATATCTCTCCACTCCTCCATCTGTCAAAGAGTCTACCTGTCAAACCACATGCCGGTACATCTTCCTTATCATTTTTTTTTCTTATAAAAAAACTCACCAACACAAACAGACATTGTACTGTATTTAAGAATACACAAACACGCACACACGTGCTCGCTCGCGCACACCTAACTTCCTATAATTAAATTCATTTGAACGAAGCCTGTCTATCCATGTCTACCCTCCAAACTTACCTGGGTAACACTCTCCCATCAAAACACCCACATATAACCAGTCTGACTCCTAACACTCATCGATCTACAAAAATATCACACACCTAGACCTACCCAAAAAGCAATCTACCAATTTTCTACCTGTCACACACTCAGTTACCTCTCCACCCCGGCTGGACTCCTTAACACATACCTATTTACTATTTACCTATTTATTTTCTCGGCTCCTCCTTCCCACCTCCCATCTTTCCTTGTTATCATCTATCTATCTCTACCAAAACTTCTTATTTCGCCTTCATGTCTTCTCAACCAGGATACCTGTCTTTCCAGTGACTTTCCACCCACTCAACCGAAGTGTCTGCTTTTTACAAAAAGGTGGCTATAGCGGTTGGAGCACTCTACAGCCCCCGCCTGTGTTAAGGCCAATCCACAGAATTCTACACTTCTCTAAGTGTAGAATTCTGTGGGCCAATCTCCCTTTTCGATTCCCTCTTTCTCTCACCCTCTGTTCTGTCTGACGAGTTTCTTTCTTTCTTTTTTTTTTTTAACATCCGTGTTTCTCCCGACGGTCTTTTTTTTTCATCGTGGCGGTTCTATTCACACAGTTCACCTAATGTAAATGTGTTCCAAACAAGAAAGCAACCCCCCTCCCTCTCTTTGTACTTCTCTTTCTTTCAGTCTGCCCCCCCTCCCCCGTGTTCTTTCTCTCTCTCTCTC